ACAACTTAAGGAATCTTTAGATTTGGCGGCTATAGACTCAAAGGGCACAGACAGGCTGCTGGTACTGTTTTTTTAGCTAACTAAAGTCCAACTTCCTTTGCCGAAAGAGGATGAAACGGACCACCCGATACCAATGAACTCACCAAAAGTTCACTGATCAGATCAACCACTGATCGCTGAGAATTCCAACCCTTTCTATCCCAGCTTCTACTCCACACAGTTGTTCTCGACTTCTACTCTCGATACTTATCGTAGTTTATTTTTCTACGGTTCCTTCGGGCTAGGGTTAGTGTCATTTCCACTACTTTTGGGAGTGTTATGATCAGCCAAGCTCGACAATTCTCTCAATAGTACCTCGTTTTCATCTAAAACACTGCTTAAAGCTCGATGGGCCGTATGGCCAAAGTTTTTGAACTCATCTCCCCCAATATGATGGGGTTTAGTACCAACTAAGCGGCCATCGCTGTCATGAATTGATATTCGCTTTTTACTAGTAAGTCCCATGGTGATATGAAATTCCTTATATTGAACTAATAGTTCTGCCCAATTCCTGTGGAATTGTTTCTCATAGGTGTGTGTGCCTATCGCCTGCCTTGTTGTTTTTCCTGTTCAACCACCCCAACTTGTGACGTATAACGATGCAGGTATCTGGCCAGCATTGACCGTTCGAGTTGATGAGCGGAACCCAGACCCATGCCAACTGGACACCCGCAACGTATGTCCACCCGCCCTTTCCTTTGATAAATCCTATTCCTATCGATTTAGCTGCATAGGCAATACGACGTTACTACGAATAAATGACGAGCGAACCCTCGAAAACCGAATCGGGATTATCCACTTGAACAGATGGGAAACACAAAGCAAGGTATCATTGTTTATAAATGTATCGATTAGCTCTGTTGATAAGGATCATGATGAAATTGCAAGTACGGATGGATTGAGACCCGATCTGTTCCGATCCTTTGGCATGGGAAATCCTTCCTTTTACTCTCTCTTTTGAATGAGTCGTGGTGCGCTCATCAAGAAGGGGAAAGATGGATGGGAAATGCTTGTCAAGCTCGGTTCTTTAAAGAATAGCATCCTCGTCTTCCTAGTGAAAAGCGCATTGGGATTCTCTACTTGTGGTGGTATAGTGCTGCTTTTAGTGATTTGGAGGGTGCCTCCCGTGGGCATGCCTGCTACGCTGATTAAGCGGGTAGGCAGATGGATTGATCTACTCGTTCAACTTGCTTGTGTTGGTGAGTTGTTCTATTATTGATTGGTCGAGCCCGGAGGAAGAGTGGCCTTGAGTTTCTCGATACATAACATTGTCTAAATCAACCCAAGTCGCTTCTTCATTTCTCTAAACAGACTGGTAGTTGGGTGAGGGATGTTTACTATTGATTGGTTATAGGCCTTCCTTCCAAGCATCAAAGAAAGAAAAGAGCAAAGCAATTCCAACATAAACTGACACTTTAGGATCCTCTAAGCCTTTCTATAGAACCCCTAAGTAGGGAAGGTACTAAAAAGAAACTCAAAACTAGCACTACTAACACAGGCTGAAGAGGATGACCTCGAAAAAGAATACAATTAAAGATGTGGCCTTCCCTCCAAGCACATATATGGATATGGAGCACTCTTTTCCACCCTATCCTTATATATTTCATTCCCGCCATTGACAGCAACTCACTCTTTTCGAACTGCACTTTGAAAGCCAAAGCCAAGAAAGACCATATCAACTACTCTCCAAATTGCAGGATAAGTCACAGAATTCAAATGGAAGACAGAAAGAGAAGGCAATTCAAACCTAATGGCCAAACATTACGAATCCAAGACAGAAAGACTTATAGCCATAAAAGAATAACAAGAGAACAAAAACAACTCCATATTCTACTGGCCTGCCTCTCTGATCTACTATCCAACTGCCATGGAAGCACCACTGAAGACTGGCTTCTCCGACCCTCCACCCGATCCTGGGCGATCCCGGATCGACAAGCCGACGGTATGGATTCCCTATATATGGATGGTAGGAACGCTTCAACTGCAGAGCCCTGAATGCGTCAGTGAGGTTCCCTCTATGAGAGAAAGAGAGGTTGCTAATCTTGGATCAGACGGCGTGTTGGTATTATTGATAAGGCTTGGATTAGCAAATTAGCACCGCTTGAGTTTAGGTATTCGAAATAGCGAAATACATAAATTATCTATCTCAAGTACGTCTCCAACTTATCTTGAGCCATCAGTCAGATTAAAAGCAGCGCCCTGCCGGCAGCTCCTGACCTCTGTTCCTATGGGAGAAAGAAGGTGTGGCTTTGGACCCCAAACTCTTCCATGACGGCCTTCTTCCACTCATTTTATTAGCAATCAAACCTCTTCCCTGCTCTTGCACTGAGGTAAGCATTCAAATAGCAAAGCAAGGGAAAAAATATGGTATGTATTTTTTTAATCTACATACAGAGAAAGCGGATGTGCCCTTATTAGCGCAGTTGAAAATAAAATATATAACGCGTAGTTGCAAGCTTTC